TTAAAATTACAGATGAATCACAAGAACAATATAAAACAAATTCTTCACGATATTTTCTTTGTACTAAATGTCAAATTCATTTATATACTCGAGAAACATTTCTTAATCATTATTCAATGCATCAACAAGGATATTTATTTTGTAAACGTTGTTTTCAATTTTATAGTAATGAAGAAATTAAAACACATGATTGTCAACAACGAAAAATTGATGAATTACAAAGTCTTGAACAATTAATTCCTCCGGATGTTACCGAACAACAACAAGACTTTAATCCAAAAGGTAAGAGTCATTTAAAAATATGAGTTCGATAGATCTTAAACAACAAGCTTTTCCTACTGCCGAAATACTTTTTGATCAATCAATTATCATTTAAATAGTAAAATTAATCTTCTACTTTTATACTGTTTGTTAACAATTAGATTATGTCAACGATCATGATTCAACTAGTACAACACGTATGACTTATTTTGGTTTACCTAAACTAACTGATTCAATAATTGAAATAAAAAATACCGATGGCAAACGATTATTTCGTTGTCCACTTTGTTTTAATTTTTATGTTAATCGATCAGGTCTTAATCGACATTATATTACACATAGTTCACAAGATTTATGGAAAGTTGGTTCGTAGAAATATTTCATTTCTTCATAAATATACTGATATGTGTTGCTTTTTAGAATGTCAATACTGTGGTAGACGTTATTCACGAAAAGATTCTTTAAAATATCATATGAAAAAAGAACATGGAGATATGATTATGTCTGATTGGACTGGAAAAGATACGAATAATTCTTTCTATCATCCATCAAATTTATTAGATGTTGATTCAATATCATCTTCATCAAACGAAAAAGAACATATAGAAACTGATGATATTGTTTTAGTTACTTAAAAATCTTTTTTTTTTTGTTCAAAAAAAAACGTATTGTTAAAATCATTCGATAATATTTTATTATACCGATGTAGTATCAGGTAGAAAGACTACAGTCAACAGGGTTCCGAATGGTAAGTGTACACAGCAGAAGAAAAATAGGTGAAACACTTGCGACTTTTGAAATACACGCTGTTTTACACGTTGCTGGCGAAAAGAAAATGTACACGGTACACTCTGCGAACAAAATTAACACTTTGTTTTTTTTAAACCATAAATTGAGTTCTTTTCTGTTTAAGTTTAAATGGATTGATTTTGATGAGAATTGTTCAAGATGGTTGTGCAATTATTGTAGAAATAAACTTAGTATAAAAATTGATCAATATGGTTTTGTGATGCTCATATAGACATGCATCAACAAGAAAAAGACAACGAAACTGATAGTGGAAATAAAAATTTTGATTGATTTGTTACTAATGTTAATGTTATTTTTTTCTCGAAATATTTTTTTTGAAATATTTCTATTCATCTCAGATTATATATTTGTGTGCGTATTAATTGTATATTTAGTATTATGCCGTATGCATTTGTTTTACATTCTTCATTAGCAAAAAATATGAACACTTTCTATATTTCAAGATTATAATTAAATTCAATTTATACACTTTCGTACACTCTGCTTTCAAAAATATAGTGTACAGAAACATTTTGTTAAGTTGAACGAAATGTACAGAAACATTTTTCTTCTAAATTCTATTCGGAACCCTGACAGTCAGTATACACATGAACAGAATAGATATCATTTTTACAACTTACTACATAAACATACAACGAGATATGTAAATAGATAACGTGTGACTGTTATCGTTGGTATTCTCTATGTTCATCCTTTTGCTCTTTCGAATTACATGAACTACATAAAGCAAATTTCTCATATAATAATACATTGAGAACACTTTGATTTTTATAGTAAATAATTCATTCTATTTATAAGGTAATAACAAACATCAGTAATAATTTAGTTTTACGAAATTTTTATCATCATCCTTCTGATTAAAGAATATTAGATTACTTTTAATGTACATATATATATATATATATATATATATATGTTTGCCTTAAAACTAGACAAGTCATTTTTTTCTTATAAGAATTACTTTTAAGAAGAAAACCCTTAAAGAATATTCTAGTTTATATAATGAATACAAGAAATTTTATGTTACTATTTGCTGTAGTTACATTTAATTTTTTTATGTTTGAAGTTCTGCTACCTTAGAAACGAACGAGAAAAAAAAGAAACAGAATAAACTACCCCTAAGGCACCATTTGTAAGAATATAAGAAGAAAAATCAAGTAAAAAGTAACAATAACAATACCCTTTTCTACATCTTAATTTTGTCAATGTCAAATCTTATTTTCTTCTTTTCAGGGAATTATTGAATAGTCGACAAGAAAAAAAGAAATTCAATTAATAATCATGAGTGCAACAACTACGAATATTATATCTACTAGCCATCACTTGCCAACTACTTTATGTTCACAATGTAGTTCTATGGCACATTTTCAATGTATAGATCATTGTAGAGAAGTTTTCTGTGGTAAATGTAGTGTTAAACATCGAACAACAGTTGTT